AGGAAGGTACACTGTAAAACCCAACAGTCAACTTAATTAAATGAATTGAGTGTAGTTAACTCAAAATTTACTGAATGTTAATGAATGTTCTGAACGCAGTGTTGAAGGTATTGAGTTAATTAAATACCTCATTACTCCTACTTAAATGAAGTTCACAGTACTCATTAGCAGGGCCAGACGGAATCTGCAGATGTTTTTTACTATTTCTGCTGAGAATTTTGGTAAAAATCTGCGGATTTCTGCAGAATTATTTTGGGAGTATCTAGCGGAGTATCACAACTAGAACCTTAATATATTAAATAAAAAGTAATAAATTACTGAATAAAAACTGAATAAATTCAGATTTACACATTTACTCAAGTAAATAAACAGAATTATTAATGGGCAAAAAATCTGCGGAATTCTGCGGAAAATCTGTGGAATTCTGCGCGCGCAGATTCCGTGTGGGCCTACCCATTAGAATTAGTTTTTGAACTTAAATGGTTTGTAGCAATCAGTTTGCTCAAACGATTTGAGTTAATTTTTGGGTTTTACAGGGTTGAGCACCCCTGATGTAGATGATCAATATGACTTATTGTGGTCACTACTGAACGTGACTGTTTTCTGTTGTGACAGATTCTCGGGTATCTGCCTGGTCAAGGCACTCCAGTAAATGTTACATGTGGATTAAAGGTAACAATTACTGACTAACACTATTTATTCATAACAAGCGATAAAATAACAACACAATACAGCAATTCACCCTCCAGTCCATTTCTGTAACAATTTTGGATCTTCTCCAATGGTTTTGTCCAGAAAGGGTCAACTGAAGTCCTCGGAGAAGTCAAATTCTTTCCAAATCCTAACTTCGATTTGCGGTACTACCCTTACTATGGGAAACTGAGACATGTAAGTAATACTATTTTACTATTCTCAAAATGTCTCTTAATTCAATAGTACTTTAACTGTTTTGTTTTCTTTTCAAACAGGTAAACTACTCCTCTCCACTGGTGGCGGTGCAATTTCTTAACGTCCAACACGACACCCCGCTACACATTCAGTGCAAGCTAAACGGCAAGGGCATCATCAATGATTCACCGACCGACCGTTTTCTGGGTAGTGTGTCTTTCACTTTAGAAGTGGGCGCATAGGATCACAGTAGGCCTAGAGAAATTGATTTTAAAACTGAGTATGTTATAATAAATGAAATAGCACACTGGGTGCTGTCTTTACCCATTAGCCCTCTGATTATGCCTCCGGCAACCACTGTGCTATTCGTGTCAGAGAAAACAAGGAATTTCCCAGTACGCAAAAAACTGAGATTCTTAGATCACATTCTGTAACATTCAGTACCCAGACACTAGAACTGAACTGACACCTGTCTGAATTTCATTATAGGATAAATACACACAAACAAAGATGTCCAAATATGTAGAACCCAATTATAGATGAGGCATAATCACACAAAAAACATACAGCCTACAGCGTGACTTAGGCTAAACAATTCTCTAGGTCTGTGTAGATTGTAGACATTAACATTTATTAATTGATCAGTTCTTTTGGTAAGTCAGATGTGTATATAACACACGTTAAAACTATTTCTTAATGATTTTTCCCTGTTAAGGAAAATTCCCCCTCAGGCTGAAAAACGACTTGTGATCTTTTTTTTTTTTTTTCTTGCTCATTTAATGGAATAACAATCAAATGTGGTTTAGGATTAATAATTGATTGTACATTTTATTTTTGGACTAAATTGTCTTTATTATTTTTGGATATACGACTAAATTTTGATTCCAGAGGAAAAGTATTTTACTGAAATGCACAGCAAATCCCATTTCATCGAGTTGATTTTCTTGTTTTGTTTTTCATCAATTATGCAATCAGCATTTCTTAAAAACTAAATGGCAAATTTCACGTAATTCATCTTCAAGTGAAAATATCTGTTCAGTTGCCTGTAAGAAGGATTTCAACAGTATTATTTATTAATTGTATTTGAATATATTGACATGGTACGAACGGTTACAAAGTGTAATAGTGAGATGGAAATCGGTAACTGCACGTCTTTGTTATTCGGTAAATACAATGAAATATCCACTGGCTGACAAAGATTTGCCAGCTCATGTTTTTAAACACACTCATGTTCTAGCATAAACAATAAAGACGGATGAAAATTAACGGAATCAAATCTTTCTGCTCAGTTTCCTCTTTAAATGTGACAAATCAGATATGAAATGTGCACACCTTTGATGATTCTCACCTTTTCATTCAACAAAGGCTCTTTATGCTGGAAACCTTTTAGTGATCAAAATGACAAAAAAAATGATGGCTTTTGTTCGAAAATATGGCTTTAAATATGTTTTACTGGCAGCAGAAAGAGTGGCTGATAAACATTTGCTTTCTCTCTGCCATGTGGCTTCATAACAGACACATAAATAAAAAAATATATAAAATCCCCCAAACCACCTTAATTGACCTTTTACTAAGTTCTTTAAAGGTGAAAATCATCTTTTGGAAGCTGTTTGGACAAAACTTTTTGTTGATATAGTGTGTTTACAGTCATATTAGAGTGATATAATGACAATACAATTTTTTTTTCTGACGTTAAAAATAGAATCCAAATCCCTCCTATTTTGAGGCCCTCAACAACATGTAGGAGTGTGATTTCCCCACCCACCGAACTGATAGACAGCCGCTTATTAACATGTCTCCATATTAACGCATATAATCATATCATCATGACAGGACATACACAAAGCAACTGGGATTAAAAGATCTGTTCAGCTCGCTGTGAGCATCAATCATCAAATGTAATCAAGAGTGAGTTTTATAAGTTTAAAACGTTTTTAAAAAAAAAAAAAATGAATTGCAGTGATATTACCCGCTTTATCACCACAGCCGCATGTCAGTAAAATTATAAAAGAAGATGCTTCGATCCAGGTTTGTGGATGTTAAAACAGGATTATTTTGTACATTAACAATGAATATCCATACAGCAGTAGATATTAACGTGTATCCTGTCACTACTGTGTGCAAAAACAGTGAAAAGTTAAACACGCTGTGTGTGTGTGTAAACTTTGTAACGACATTGTGTGACTTACCGCAGAAAGGCTTGAATTAACTCCAAAACAAATATCAAATAATCATTGTGAAAGTAGTGTTTCTCACTAACGTTATGTGAGATCTGCTTCATGTCTGTCACTGTGCTGTTTATCTGAGGCAGCCGAGGCCGAGATTGAGGCACACTCTAACAGGCATGTGGGAACGGTGGACGGGGAGAACCAGCAATAAAGGCATAGGATACAAAAACAGCTACAGTGTGTTTAAAGCAAAAAACACACATTTCTGAAGGATTTAATTACCTGATGGGTGTTTTAAGCTTAAACTTTACATACACATTCTGAAAACACAAACAAGTATCTTATTTTGAAAAAAGGGGTAAAATAGCTTACACATTAGACCTAACTGAACAAAACTGAGGTGAACGGTCTCAGGTTTCTTTAACTATGGTTAAAATGGTCGTGGCTTGGGTCTTCGCGTGGACAACCTACTGTAAGTGATTTACAGTAACTTTAGCAAGGCTCACAATGTCACAAGAACAGTGTAAATGGTTAGTTGGATTGTCAGATAATTAAGGAAATTAGCATCAGATTAACACCTGTAACAAACTGTTTGATTTAAAGGACACCTATTTTACCCATTTTTCAAGATTTAAGTTAAGTCTTTTGTGTCTCCAGAATGTGTCTGTAAAGTTTGAGCTCAAAACCATCAGATTATTGGTTATACCTTTCAGAATATTGGGTTTTTCTGCTTTGAACACACTGTAACTGTTTTTTGTGACCTGTCTCTCTAATGCTCTAATGCCCACCATTCCCATGTGCCGGACAGTGAGAGTTAAAAAAATAAATAAATAAATTCTGTATTGAAGCGTCTTTTAGAATTGTTCTGATGTGTGGCTATGGTGATAAAAACAGTAAAATTGCTGTAATTCATTTTAAACTTGTAAAACTCATTCTTGATCACATTTGATGGTGATTGTTGATCTCAACAGATCTGCTTTGCGCACATCCTGTCAAGCTGATATGATTATACGCGTTACTACAGAAACATGTAAATATGCAGCTGTCACTCAAATAGGTGGGCAGAGAAACCACACTCCTACATCACATTGTTGTAGGCCTCAAAATGGGAGGGATTTGGATCCCATTTTCAACGTCAAGACATAAAAAACAAAGAGACTTAGTGTTTAGATCATCAAAATGTGAGGGGATATTGTACCTACACAGAGTTCAGTGTTCACTTGTTAAATTATGATCTTGTGCTTCAAAAACTGCTCTTTTTATACCTTTTAGTTTCAACTTCAAATTGCCACAAGCAGTGACCCTAAATTTTAAGCTTGTAGGTTGTTCTCTGATCTGATTTTGAACTCCACTAATTTTATGAAATATTGGTTCTTTTAGGAACTAAAGAGCTCCATCGCATTACTTTAAATATATCCTTTATTTGTTAGCACACGGCAAATATGTTATAAGCTACTTGTTTTGTTACGGGCTAAGTATTCTCATAGTTTGATATTGACAGCCATAGAAGACAAGTTAATTGATAAGTTTCAGATGTCTGGCACTATTTGGGACTATTGCAGTCTATGAATAAAAACTCTGAGATTTATCCAAAATATTTGTTCCAAAGATTAATGGAAATCAAGGGCTTGGATTGACAGTGTAATTGATCATTTCATTTTTGAGTGAACTATTTATTTAAAACTAAACAGGGCAAACAGCAATATAGAACTCATCATTTGAACCAAAAGGTCAGTCTTCCATGCCAGGGAGAAGTAGGTCTTACTGTAATACACAGTTCAGACACTTCCAGTTAACCGCCATAAATATGACATCAGTAAGTTTATAGCAATACTGAAGATCCAAGTCCATCAGTGGAAGCCATGACCATAAAAATCATGAGAACGTGTAAAATTTATGAGCTCAAAAACAGCAACGAATGGAACAAAAAAAAGAGACAATGAATAATGTACAAAAACAAAAAGCAATTTTATTTAAATCTTTTCCACTTTGAACCAACATTCTTAACCTGGCAGAAATCAATCCTACAGAGAAGGAACAAAGAAATGCAACTAAAAAGGCACACTATATAGTACAACAATGATATTCTTTCTTTAGTGTGTTTTTAAACAAAAAAAAAAAAAAAAATCCTGAGGACACAATGACTAGAGAAAAATACTGTATAATGAAGTGGATTGGATAAGTCATTAACGATAAGTGAAAAAAATGGAAATTGTAGCTTTGGTCTTTAAAAACTAGTTTGTAAAGCTCTCTAAAAAGAAAAAAAAAATAATAAAATGGAATAGCTAAAACTGCACAAACCCCATGTATTAACAGGCCTATTATAACACTTCCAACATTCCCTGAGAGGGACCAAATGGAATTAATGAAATCATGACAATATTTAAATGCTGGTACAAAAAGTCAAAACAAAAAGTTTCCCTTTATAACAATACAATGTGCCAAGTGCAAATGTGTAACTTATTAGCTCTGCTGATTTAGAAATGTGCCAGGATACTTGATCCTTAATTTGGGGCCACGAATGTGCAGGAGTACGATTACACAACTGAACAATTACATTCAATGGTTCAACTCAAACCATATTCCTAAAATCTAGAATTGCATCATTCATTCATAATAAGTTCACGAAAAATCACAGCATCCTCAGAACAGGAATATAAACCAAATCTCCCATAAAAAGAAATCCTTTTTTTCTCCATGCATTTAACATACAGCGCAATACCAGTGGTTATTTCAGACAGCCTGTGCTTACACCAAATCATGCCTGCTGACATTGCTTCTGGTGAGATCAAGCAGGAATAAAACTCACGCCATTCAGAAAAATATTAAGATTGCACAGAGAAAATAAATAGAGATGTAAATGGCAATCAAACATGTTAGAAACCGGAGGGTTGGACTGTTTGCAGGGTAAAATGAGAAAGCCAACAGGATTGGAAGAGGAGGAGGTAAAATAAGTGGTAAAGGGCAAGCCTGGGTTAGTAGGCAAGACGGCGGCAGGGCAGGTGGTTATACAGACTGGTAACCAGTACGACTCTTCCGCCGGCCAATCAGGTAAGAGATTAGCACTAGGATGATTAGGAAGCTGAGTGCCACACCCACAGCAATGGGCACAAGAAAACTCAAATCAGAATCCAGAAAGCACTCCTCCGCTGGGAGAAAGGAGAGACAGAGAGAGAAAGGGATGGTGAGTGATTATCCCAATGTTAGATCACAACAGAACTTCATTGCAGAATAGCAGTCATATGCCACCCAGGAGCATTTTAGAAGAAAATCCCCACACCAATATATTGGCCAAAAACAGTAATAAATTTCATGTGCACTTGTACTAATGACTCAATTTCTGAAATACTGCGGGAGACTTTGCAGAACGTGATTTGATGATTATTAGAACTAATTGAATTGCTCATAGCCAGAGTTTTGACTTCTCTTTCGTCCAATCAGATAGGCCAATAAAACGACAACAACGAGGACCGCCAGGGCAACTCCCACCGCTATAGGGACAATGAAGTTATCAGGCTCATCTGCTTCACAATCCTCAGCTGAAAATAAAGAGAATGAGTGAGGCAAAGAAACGGTCAAATGTCTGGAATTGAATGTCTACATCATTAAACAATGAAATAAAATGGCTCACACCAGATATGTATACACAAGATTTTCCTTAATTTATTGCAGCTAAAAGCCCATTAAAACAAAGCCATTTTCATTGCAAAACTAACCACACACCCAAATGTCATTAAGTCACATCAAATTTCAGGGCAGTCAGATAATAAATCCCTTTTAACAAGTCTGCAGGCAGAGAAAGGTACGCTCAGAAAGCAGCAAATCAAATATAAATCCATATTTATTGATGCAAATGATTGGAAAGCAAAAATCAACTTCATTAAAGCAAGGCACAAAGTTGCCAGTGACAGGTTTTGAAGTTGTCATTTGTCCTGACTTTAGTGACATTTACACATGATTGTGTGAGTGCTGCATAAATTAGAATAGTGCATAAAAAGGTGACAATTGACTGGAAATGAAAGGAGCAATAATGTGATGAGAACAGACATAACAAAATTGTTCTGCAACTGAAATCCAAAAATAAAGTCAGGAAAATTAAAAAGACAAAAAAGTATATTAAATACAATTGACAGCTACAACCATTGAGGGCTCAAAAAAGGTGCAAAATTTATCTTGCAGAAAACACAATTCACAGACGTATTAGCAAAAAGCAGCATGTATCTTTCAGGCTAGAGTAGCAGTAAATTGACCATTTGCTATGCAAGCGAAGATGACAGATTAGAAGTAATCCCTTTTTTAACAAACAAAATGCAACCAAACAATTACAAAACATTTTTGCTTTAAAGCTTAAGTGTTGCTTGAAAAAAAAACAAACACTTATTACAATCGTGTCTTTCATGTTTAATCCAAGTTTAAGTATTAAGTATGAAAGGGGTAGTCAGAATGTTTACATCTCCCCAAACTGATCGAAACTCAAGGCATGCAAAAGCACCTGACTCAATAAATGGATGCGGTCACTATAACTGCTTTTAATATTTAAACCAAATGCTGCAATGGTGCAAAATTGTTTAAAATTACAGCTTTGATTGGCATAAACTTAAATTTGCGCAAACTGCAAAAATTAACACAAAGGAATGTCTAAGAGAGGCAAGTGCAGGGTCTGATATGGAGCATTTAAACTTACATTGGCCACAACCCATGATGAATGAAGCTACCGTTTTTACATATAGAACAAAATAGCAAGGGTGTAACACCAATTTACTTGTGAAGAGATAAAAAGAGACCATGCACTTCAACTAAATTGTAAAGGTGTAAGAAAAGTGTACACAATTAAGAGGGAGCTCTGGTCCTGGAGTGCCACTGTATCTTTTGATTTTTAAAAGGCATTGCAGTTTAGGGGCCAATAGATAAGTTTTTTTGACTCACCAGTCAGTTGCCAATTGAGAGATTGCACAAAACCCCACAATATTTACAATGGTCCAGGAACAGGCTTGTGTGTGTCCCTTAAAATACCCAGTATTTGATTCTGTGATTTGTTGCATTACAGTGTCTGATATCCAACATAGGTTCGTCGTCGACCAATCACGTATGCAATCACAACAATGAAAATCAAACCAGCCAGAGCGGCACCAACAATGATTGGGATTAAGAGGCTGGTGTCATCCAGTGAACATTCATGGGCTGCAGACAGAGAGAACATGAATGAACATGCAATGAAGCTGCAGTCTTGTCATTAAAACCACTGCAGATATTCTCACATCACTGCACAGACATGAATATCATACTCTGGTAATACTGGGCCATTTCTCTTAATCTTTTCTCTCCATTTCTTCTCTTAGGATTAAAAGGAGTCCTAGAAAACAATGACTGACCAAAAACATAACTGCAAGTTTCTCATTAAAATATAAAATTCTAATTTGAGTCGAATGTGAAAGGTTAACCAGATACCATACATTAAGACACATGAAAATGGCGTTTTAGTGACTAATTATACCAAAACAGACACCTAGTATAAGTACTTGAATATTAAAACACTATTTATGAACCAGCAGTGGCCCAAAAAATAAAAATGATAACTTTGCAACCAACTTAATTACACATTCATAAATTTGTAATTTAAATGAAATAGTCGAATACCAATTAAAAATAGGAAAGACTCCTTTTGAGTAGTTTAACACGTGCATGTATGCGTAATTTTATTTTATTTTTTTAAATAAATAAAAACTCCCATAATTAGTTTGCCAAATCATGTTACATTTGTTTAATAGGCCTTGTGTACATTGCAAAAGGAGTTAATTTAAATAGACACCAAATGCCTTTGGCCCAAATACACGCAGCATTATCAATGATCTTGCAAAGTACTCCGGAAACACCATGAGTTTATCAGATTTAGTGGTGCATGAGCAGTATCGCGGTTTCACACTAAGTGCTAGAAATATTACCAAAAACACTTTAAATCACACCACTATGAAAATGTAATTTGCAGTTCTACCTTATCTACTTTGACTCACTATGGCTCTCAAAAGTCCTGTGATATTATACACTTGCAGAATAAATACCTGTGATGAGCTAATTAGCTCAGCATCACCAAAATACATACCTGTGCTAAAGGAGTTCTTCTTGACGTCAAAGGGCTGCACTTGTAGCTCAAATGTGTTGAGGGTAAGCTTGTCACTGATGTTGTAGCTCTGCTCTTTTCTGCACATGTAGGAGCTCCCGACAGAAGCCTCCCACAGAGACAGATTAGTATTGGAGTCATTGAAAATGTTTCCTGTTGGGGGTGGGAAATAATTTAGTGGTCTGACTGATTAAATGGATATACAATTCAATTTGCCTTTGTTTCTATAGCACTTAAAACCTGTAGATAGTCTCAAAGCAGCTTAACAGTTCTGGTAAACTAATGCACAAATCAAATGGCACCATATTAATTATGGCTTATTTCACAGAATCTGCGTTTCACAGTTAATACTGAAGACATACAGTCAGATTTACTTCGTTTTAAAGCAGAGTATAAAAAATGTTTGCTTAATGTAAAAAGTTAGTTGTAGCAACTGATTTCCATAGATCAACAGGTTCTACAAAAAGCAGAATAAATTAACAAATTTAGCTTGGTATTAGCCAAGTTCAAATTACATCTAACACCAAATAGGAAACCAAATTTCTAACGTAAACTTTGTTCTCTGCATTTCTCTTCTTGCGCAATCAATCACAAAAAGCTTCAATACATTAAAATTGCAGCATACAAATAAACTTTTTTTTTGCAAAAGGTACAATGTAATGGTGGGATTCTAAATTCACTTGAAATTGCTGACTCTAGCATTAACATTTTAGTCTAAATAAAGTTTACATTCTATTTATCCATAGGTCTCAACTCCTGGAAGGCTACAGCTCTGCAGTTTCGCACCAACTCTTTCAAACAGCTGATCCAACTAGATCAAGGTATTCATGACTCTTTTGAACACCTTGATTAGTTGGATCAGCTGTTTAATTAAGGTTGGACCAAAACAGTGCAGAGCTGCGGCCCTTAAGAAATAGAGTTGGAGACCTACGACTCACGATCCAACCATCTTACCATTTCCAAGATCAACAGTCAGTGTCAAAGCATGTAGACGGAACTTCTGAGAATCCTATCAAACAAAAATAAAAAGCATTTACCATGACATTGTAAGCTTTAATAAAATGCATTTCCTTTTAGAATGAACATTTAAGAATGGAGGTCCACCCCAAATCACATCCTTTAAGCCAGTGTTTCTCAACCAAGTTCCTGGAGGACCACCAACACAGCATTTTTTTGCCATCTCCCTTGTCTATCATACCCATCACAGGTCTTACGGTCTCTGCTAATGAGCAAATCGAAATGAGTGGTTGATCGACGTGGAGAGTGCAGAGGTGGTGATCCTCCAGGAACATGGTTAAGAAACAGTGCTTTAAGCAAGAGGTGTCAAACTCAGTTCCTGGAGGGCTATAGCCCTGCTTCGATGCAACCATACTTCAACACGCTCAACTATAGGTTTCAAAATAGACTAAAGGAGTCAGTTTGATCAGGTGTGTTTAATTGGGGTGGGAACTAAAATGAACAGAGCTACGACCCTCCAAGAGTTGAGACCTGTGCTTTCTTGGGGGGGAAAAAAAAAAAAAAAAAAACTAAAAAGTTCAAGTGTTATGAACAGATAGAATGGTTTTGGTTAGATGACAAACACAACCTGGCTATTTACTACATTCTGAACCTTGCCCACTGTAAATGTAGCTTGGCATTTTAAAGACTTACGTTTGTGAAGACAAAATGTACAGTGATGTCTTTTGACGTCAGAAAGAGGGAAGAGTCACTGCCACCACTTCCGCAGGTCCCATTCACTTTAGTCACATTAGGGTCCAGATTAACAGTCTGAAGGCTGGCGTTCTAAACAAAGATACCATTTTTATCAAAAAAAAAGACAGAGTAGAACAAAAGTTTGTTAAATGACAGAATTATATACTACGATTACACACCCCACTTATTTTGAAGCTGAACTGAAGGCCCATCTTTGCCAGCAGACAGTCTGAGACATTGTCGGTCTTGACACTGTAGTTTCCAACAGTCGGTTTTGGTACAGAAGGAGTCGTCGGAGGAGGGGTCGGGGCTACTGTAGCATTGGTGTGTGTGGTGGTTGGCGCATCTGTAGTAGAATTTGTCGTGTTGTGTCCTGTGGTAGTTGGCGGTTCTGTGGTAGAATTGGTTGTGTTGTGTCCTGTGGTAGTTGGAGCTAATGTGGTAACTGTAGCACTGGTGCTAGAACTACTAGTGCTTTGTGTGGAAGTTGGAGCTGAAGTGGTAACTGTGGTGCGTGCAGTAGTGGTTTTAGCTGCAGGTTCTGTAGTCAGAGTGGAATGAGTGGAAGTTGAAGAGGGCCTGGAGGTGGTTGTAGTAGATGTAGTAGATGAAGTAGTCTGGATGACTAGGGGGAGGTTGGCTGTTTTGAGCTCTGCTGTTGAGGGCAGTGGTGATGTCATCATATCATCAGCATGAACAATACCTGCACAGGGTGGAAACCGAAGGTTATAAACAAACATTCAAACCAGCCCTAAATTCAAGTTGAGCTAAACTGCTTTTAACTAAACATTTGGAGATGGACAGAAGACGATCAGTATTGGATAAAGGATATTCACACCAGGCCATTGAAAGATCAATCAGGCCTAATGAATAGGAGTTTTAAAGAATTGGCCAATCAAAAGGCTAAGAAATTAAACTTGTACTGTGTATAGAAAATATTTAATTGAATTATTAACTTGAAACAGTTGACAAATGATAAACATTGAAGTTCATAAGCTCTGCACTGCTGAAATCTTACTAAATCGAACTCTACAAATCTTGATTTCGGACCAAATGGCATGGAAAGAAACATGACATGATAGTCCAAGCTCAAGTACAGCCCTGTCAGTGATATGTAGGGCTGGGCAATAAATCAAGTAATGGAAAAATCGACATTCAGAACGTCAGACGATTCAGACGATTTTCTCAATTATGGCCACTTAGCATCAATAGGAGTTAAAAAAAATAAATTCAATTCAAGATTTTGATTTAGGGGGAAAAATAAAATAGCCCAGCCCTAGTGATATGTACTAAAAACTCAAACTTTTGTAAAATTACAGTTTGATACTTACTGTAGTGATAATTATACAACTCATTTAAAAAGGACAGTTATACATAACTTGATGTTAAAGACTTTAAAAAAAAAGATTAAAAAAAATCCAGAATAAACTTTCAACCACCTTCACAAAAGGGAAATAAAAACTGCAGACCAAGCACATTCCCAAAGCTTCCACTTCCTGATTGAAGACAGGGAGAGGGGAGAAAAAAAAAAAAAAAAAAAAATTTGACCGACACTTTTTTTTTTTTAAATATATATATATATATATATATATATATATATATATATATATATATATATATATATATATATATATATATATATATATATATATAAAAACTAGAGATTTTGGATGGGCAAAGGTTTCAGATTTTATAGAATCTCCTGTAGTCTGAGTTCTTAAAATATTGAACACTGTTATAACTAGGTGTATCAAATCATGAGCCGTTTTAGATATAGAAAAATCGAGCTTTGCGGATCATAAATCGCTGATTCGCATTCGTTTGTGTATTATAGGCAGTTTTGCATCAGCAAGTGTGATTGTTTATAAGTTGTGTAATGTATTACAGCCGTTAGATCAGCACTGTGACCGTCGCTCATTTAGTTTGATCAAATCATTAACCTGATGCTTCACACACGACAATCACATGATGAAAGAGGGTGACAAGATAAACACACTGAACAAGCACTTCACAAATCACATGTCTCAGAAAGTGTAATTCAGGAGACTTCCAGGTTGTTGTTTTCGGTTTTGTTTAAGTCAAAATCATGATTGAAAACATCACTGGTGAAAGCTTCTCAAATGCAACATTTGTTCAATTTAAATAAACTGATGCATCGCGAACAAAAGTGGCCAAATCGTATACATCAAAACCGTTGTAAGTTAACTCCCTTGAGTCATTATGGCAGCGCATGATTTACTGGCTTTATGACAGCTTGAGTCACACTGGTTATATCGGAAACCCTTATAAACTTCCACATTGGACGGCATTTCTGGGCATCAACCTGTGTATGCAGTGAGAGCTTACAATACAAGTAACCTAACATATTCAACAGTACGTAAACACATCCAAATTTAATGTAGCGCTTTCTTTAATCTAAATTCGCTAAGAATCCAACAGGCAAATATTAGTTGCCATGTAATAGCTGGGGTATCTATTAAAAACCACCGAATGCGACTTTCTAAAATAACTCAAATGCATATTAGTAGAACCCAAAGAAGGTAAAAAAACGACCATGTAACTAGCTGACAGAGTATCTGAATATCTACCGCGCATCTGTTGGCGTAGGTAATAATTCAGGCTAATGCTAACGCTAACAGGCTCCTGTGGGCCTGCGCAAAACAGCCAAAAATAAGCTTCAAAATCTGTTTTTGTAACGCGACAGCATCTGAAATGAATCACTCAACAACACGATTGTACGTACCACTCAGCAGGATAAAGAGCAGAGGCAGAAAACCGCGGACAGCCATTGCGACGGGTGGATGGTTTATCTGAGCAGACAGACAGCAAGAGACGCCCGGACCGAGTGTGACCCGGTGCAGCAGCGCTATAAGCTAAGCCTCAAACCTGAGCACATATAAGTCATATGACAGGCGGGACGTCCTTCTCCTCCTCCCCCCACATGTGCCTGACGTTGAGTTTACGGACATTGCTCATTTGACAAACCTGTGGGTAATTAAATCAAGCCGAGATGTTTTAATAAACGTGTTAACGTAATTAAAAAGTCTAAACAGTATGATCACACAAGCTGTCATAAAACCACCGTGCATATTGATGATCTATTACAAACAAAACGTTTATTTCATCCATGTATACCCATCTGTTTATTAATTCATACAGAGATGACATGTTTAATTTGAAGATACCTTATTTCTTACACATAGGGGTTTCTCATAATAGATAACATTTATTGCTTAGTTTTTTATAAGTATAATAATGTTATTCTAGCTCTAAGGCTAATAAGTATTTTTTAAGAAAATCCATATTTCATTTATTTAGTTGATTTGATAAGGATATACTATTGGTTGGCCAATTAATTAATTCTCTGGGTCTAGTATTTACATATAAAGAATTTGTAGATCATTTTCAAGAATTTTCTGTTGCTATGGTATCATACCATCTGATCTTATTGCTATATCGAGAGGTACCCTTACTATTTGTCACACATTTTGCTTAATTTTGAGCATTATTTTGTTGGTATGTTTTGCATCTCCTTTTAAAAAAAAAAAAAAGATTCATTCATTAATTTTCTTTTCGGCTTAGTCCCTTTATTAATCTGGGGTCGCCACAGCGGAATGAACCACCAACTTATCCAGCACATTTCTATGCAGCGGATGCCCTTCCAGCCGCAACCCATCTCTGGGAAACATCCACACACACTCATTAACACTCGGACAATTTAGCCTACCCCATTCACCTACCGCTTGTCTTTGGACTGTGGGGGATACCGGAGCACCCGGAGGAAACCCACGCGAAGGCAGGGAGAACATGCAAACTCCACACAGAAACGCCAACCGACCCAGCCGAGGCTCGAACCAGCGACCTTCTTGCTGTGAGGCAACAGCACTACCTTCATCGCCCATAATAATAAGATAATCTGTGTATTTTTTTAGCAAAATATTATTAGTCTACCAGGTGTGACTGCTTATTGGAATAATGCAGTGGATAACATTTATCTAAAAAATGTGAACCTTTTTGGCGTTATTCTCATTTTCCATTTAATTATGAGGTTTAAATACTGCATTCTAATGACATTTAAGCACTATTTTTTAGCTGGATTAGCTTGTTGGATGATCATCATAACTACATTTGATGTACCAAAATATTTCCTAAAGATTAAGAATAAAGAAATATGAAAACAATACTTGTGTTTAAAATAGGCTAATAACAAACTGGCCAGCACATTCAACTCTCCTCAGCCAGAATTTGGCCATTTGAATAATAAAAAATTAAAACAATAATAATAATGTAGAGCATCACAATTTTCTAGCCTCTCTTGAAAAAAAGTACATTTAAATATTCTTGAATAACAACAATAGCCAAATTAGTGTTCAAATGAGTTTTAATATAGGCTGTTTTTGGTGCTTCACATCTTTTAATTAGTCATTTTTTGTTTCAAAAATAAGGTCCAAGACTTAGATGAAAATTCATTCATTTTCTTTTCAGGTCAGTCCCTTTATTATTCAGGAGTTGCTGCAGGAGAATGAACCGCCAACTTATCCAGCATATGTTTTACGCAGTGGATGCCTTTGCAGCTGCAACCCATCTCTAGGAAACATCCACACTCATTCACAGTCATATGGACAATTTAGCCAACCCAATTCACCTGTAATCCGTGTCTTTGGACTGTGGGGGAAACCGGAGCACCCGGAGGAAACCCACGCAAACGCTGGGAGAACATGCAAACTCCACACAGAAACGCCAACTGACCCAGCCAAGGCTCGAACCAGCAACCTTCTTCCTGTGAGGCGATAGCACTACTTATTGCGCCACCGTGTCACCTTCAGATGAAATGTTTTCTCTATTTAAAAACAATACAGTAGGTCAGTAGTCAAAGCGGACTTCACTTCTGTCAGCTTGTGTGTTTTCTTGCACAGCTGAATGTTGGACTCATAAACAATAATTATCTGCATTGATCAAAACTGACTAGCTGAAGTCACACCAAAGCCACAGCCAACACACGATTCCACTTGGTCTTAAAGTCTTGTCAATGGGTTATTTTCACAATTTATGATGACATAGCAGTCAAAGTAGGACAAATGAGTTTATGAATTGGACAAATATTGGATAGATTCTAGACCTTTGTCAGTGAGGGGTGGGTCTTTCGAACCACCCAAACCCCCCATGGGCCTGGATAACATAACAAATAAAGTAAAAGAGATTTTTTACAAAATTCAATCCTGCCCCTTGTTATAAGAAAAAAATCTAAACGTGAAATCACCTCCAATTTATATTTTTGTGATGACTGTTTTGAAATCGTTGATGATCTTTTTTGGACCTGTCGATTTACAAAAATATTTTGGAAAATTATCTTTGGTGTTATTTGCAGCAAAATGTATGGCATGTATTTTGCATTGGAGAGAGGTAATGTTGTGCTTTGTCGACTAAGAACAGCCTAAAAGAAAATAGTTTTATGTGGTGATCTTGGTTTTGCTGCTTTCAAAATTTCACATTCATAAGTCAAAAATGAATGCAAGCAAATTATTTGAAAGTTAGGCCTAAAACATGACATACACAAGCATGTGTATATTTACATATTTAATTGCTCATATTTTAATTGAAAAAAAAATATTATATTTCCCATATGACTGTAGCTTTAATTATTTTACTTAACTATCCTAAAGGTTTAATGCACATGAGGCTGTTTAAAATGTACAGTATTTCATGGAAACATGAATCCTAACTACAGTAATTAAACAAAATGACATCTTGCCCCATAACTTGCTTTAAATAAAAAGCGTTTGCCGAATGCATAAATGTAAATTCTCTCAGAGGTCTTCTGACAAGGATTTCATCAAAAAAGGTATTTTAAATTTTAAAGGTAAATTGAATGTCCCATGAAAAATGTTACACAGTAAAACACAGCAGCTATCATTGATTCATTTCCCTTCGCCTTAGTTTCTTATTTATGAGGGTTTGCGACAGCGGAATGAATCACCAACTATTCCAGCATATGTTTTACACAGCAAATGCCTTTCCAGCTGCAACCCAGTAACACCCATACACTCTCACATACACTCATACACTACAGCTGATTTAGTTTATTCGATTCACCTATAGAGCATGTCTTTGGACTGTGGGGGAAACCAGAGCAAGAGGAAACCCATGCAAACAAGGGGAGAACATGCAAACTCCTCACAGAAATGCAGCCGGGACTCGAACCAGTGGCCTTCTTGCTCTGAGACGACAGTGCCAACCTCTGAGCCACCATGCAGCCTTAAGCAACTAATAAGCAGCATATTATGTAAAGTATAAAAACTAAATTAAGACTTTTTTAATTATAAAAAATAATATTAATGATAAGGCAACAAGGTCTTACTTTTAGATTTTTCACTTGTTTGATATCTTTTGACAAACTGGGGAGAAATTGACATTTGTGGACACCATTTAATACAAATAAAACTTTGTTATAAACAAGGTCATAACATTCATTCTTTTCGGTTTAGTCCCTTTATTAATCTGGGGTCTCCACTGCAGAATGAACCGCCAACTTATCCAGCATATTTTTTATGCAGCGGATGCCCTTCCAGCTACAACGCATCACTGAGAAACACTCATACACACACATGCACTACGGACAATTTAGCTTACCCAACTCACCTGCGCATGTCTTTGGTCTGTGGTGGAAACTGGAGCACCCGAGGAAACCCACGCAAACACTGGGAGAACATGGAATATTTAGTATTAGTATCTCAAAACTTTGGGGGGGTTTTGAGTCTTGATTTGGCTACAACTTCTTTTGTTTCAGCTAATGGAATGATTTTTAATAGCAAATCCTATTTCGACATATTTTGGGGAAATGCTTAGAACATGTTCAAAAAGTCAGCAATACACATTGGGCAAATTTACTCCCCTTTTGTTTTGTTTGTTTTTGCCTCATTGACTTCCATTATAATGTCATGTTTTGATTGCAAACCCATGACTCAAAATACTCATGTATTCTAGATGGTTGGTAGTTTTCCTTTTAGGAAGATGTTTTTTTTAATTTTTGTTAATCAGTTGCAGTGCAAAAAAAGCTTCTTCCCACTAAAAATAAAAAAATGCAGCTCAGCTCTCAGAACATAGTAATCAGTAAGTGTATTTATGCACACACACACTATGCTGTTTTACTCCAACGAACTTCTTTTAAAAGCCAGAAACTTTTTGCAAAGGCCTATCTATGCTGCCACCTGACAATCAACAGTAAATATTTCACATTTTACCTCTTCCCAACGGGGAAAGCCACCAACAATCAACAATGCATACGTTATCATCGCTTAGCAATAAAAATGTCATTTTAATCAAAGTAAATAGGGCAAAAAAAGCTTCAAATATAATGAAAGGGTAGTAATTTGAACAGTACACAGGGGTTCCAGCGTTTAGTCTGGTCTAGACTGCTCGTGGTGCTTTGGCGTCCTCTGGTGGCGCATCGGAGCAGTTAGGCCTTGCGCTTATCCAATGTGCCTCAACAGCAGCTGCGCAGAGCAACGGTCGAAAGTACTTCCGGCGGGTCAGCGTCGCCTCTTAGAAAAGTTACTATTTCCCCGCGGACTTGGACAAAAAACCTAAAATACCAACCAGTCTCGTGAGCGGACAGACGGCGTCCGGCAGAATGCTTTAACGCAAACAGCCCTCGGCGAAAAGCAGCTTGTAATCCAACGGACTTTGTGCCGCGCGCCGGAGTGTGCTCGAGCGAGAGGAAGCAGTATTCAACCATCTTTCCTCTGCTGGCAATAACAAGAACAGAGAAGGGTCCAAGTGGGGCTGCACTTCTCAATTTATCTTTTTTTTCCTCCTTATCCATACACGGAGCCGAGAGCTTGCACTTCCCCCGACCGAGACCGAGGAATAGAAAGCGTCCGCACACGGCATCGTAGCATTAGTAGATTAGCGATTTGATTTAGTATTTCTT